TCAAAACACTAACACGGAGTTTAATCTGAAATTATCAATTGCATATCCCAGGTCAGAAATGTTTAAACTAACCACCCTGCTCACGTGAATAGACCGAATAGGTCTATTACTTTTCATAAAATATGAGATGTGTGGCAGTGCTCCAGCAATGAAAGTAGTTATACTTCTTGGTGCTAAAACTTATGTGAATCCTTTATTAAGGATGATGTAATTTCCTCTTCTTCAAAAATTGACTGATCTAATAATGACAATTATCCTCACGTACTTTATTACGGGCAGAGAACCCTAAAAAAAAAAGAAAAAAAAAGAAAAAACATACACACACACACACCGTAACACGAGCATCTACTACCAGGGCCCCACGTGCTTTCCGTAACTAATTGAAAGCACGTGCTTTCAGTGTTTACACGCCGGAAAGGTGAAAACAAAGATAATTGTGCAAAATTAAAATATTCTAAAAAGATGGCATTTGTCTTATAAGCAAGTTAACCTTCGAAACATCACGAAAACATCGCATTTGCTTTACACCAGACATTTTTATATTTGTATGCTGCGTGAGGCTCACGAAAGTGATCTTGTAAGTTTTATTGAAACGCGTCTATCAACGTCGGCAAGCGAAACAACATCGGAATGTTTTGTGTGCGGATACGACCAATCACAACTCAGTTCTAAAACGTTCTCACGGTTTCATTAATCCCTTTGATTGCATTATGAACATTCCTTTCAAGACGGTACTTATCAAGTAATGGTTTGTCCAGTCAGAGAAAAGCGGAAAGGTTTCGTGTCTTGTTCAACGTTGCGTGCTGTTCATATATTCACGCACAGCGAAGCAGTAGCTGTCCATTTCACCGTCTGTAGATTCTGCACGGAAGAGTTAAATTATTTAGTCTGTCTGTTTTAAGGGTAAAACCTGGCTTGCTTCACTTATTTTTATTTGCGAAGATGTTCAAGAGTGGATGAAGAAGGAGGGGTATTCAGGCAATTGCCGATCATTTTTATGGTAAGGTAATAGCCTGTTCTAACTAAATAATATGTTCTGCTTTTAAAAGAAAAAACCCTCATACACTGTGACACGAACCTACAATTCGTAAAACGGTGTTCTGATACATCTTTCTTTTGATTCCCCATCTAACAAAAGTTCCCAACTGAAAATGCACTTTTGGCGCGAAATAACGGAACACGTTGACGTTTTCACTTTGCATTATATTAATTAACGCCTGAAAGTTTAGCTTTAAAAACTTTAATTTTCCTTTCTTAACTCTTTACTTTTTAACTTCCAAAGCTGAACAGGTTCGGTTGTGCATGAATGAGGAGACCCTGAAGACCCTCGTGCCCCCTGCTGGCGTTCTCGCTAATCTTCTTCACAAGGTACGAAAACTTGACTTGATAAAAGCACTGAAGTTCGGATAATTCACGAAGTGTCTACCGAAGCGCGACCTGTACAAGAAGCTGTTAATGCTGAAACAGTTGGCGAGGCATCTAGCGCCCCAACAGTTGATAAAAAGAGGTGAGAACCTATTTACACTTCCAAAGGGCCAGTGACTGTCACAAACATCATTTCATTTTACATGAAAACGGCTAGGGGAGTAGAAGGGGAGGGATTTGCAAATTTGTCCATGTGGTCCTATATTGTAAGCTTTTTTCCTGCAATCCGGTCAATTATGGAAAATCCAAACTATAACAAAAGAGACAATATTGTATATAGGGAATTTACTAGCAATCAGAAGCTTGCAACATAGACAAGTTAATACTGACATATTTCTTAGGTAGGGTGGGTGGGGAATTAGGTTCAGTGGAAGAAAGAAGACTCAATTACAATGCATTAGGCAACCTATACAGAGCGCTTAGGAGAGAATCCTGGGAACGAGGTTTTGGATTAGTAAACAAATTCTAAACACATCATTACCTATTTCATGTTACACCTACACAATTTGCCAATGTGTGCTGTCCATATACAATGTAAAAGAACGTATAAACATTTTCAATCATTCACAAGAGATACCTGTAATGAAAAATACTATTTTCAGCCATCCTATTCATTTTACCAATGATACTTCAATACTGTCTTTTTCGATAAAAGTGCCTGAGACCAAAAACTGTAAAGTTCTGTTCAGTGATACAATAATCGAGGCTGCAAAAAGTATTATTAAAATATGTCTGTAAGGTTCCCGATTGTATATATTCCCAAACAACTTACCTTTATCTTTCAATTCATCATGTTGTGGGTTTCCATAGCTATGTAAAGTTGGATTTTCCGCTTTTAACCAGCTCCAAAGTTGAGAGGCCAGCCCGCTCATTACTTGGAACATGATGAATTGATAGCTGGTAATAATTATAGTTATCTAAAATTATCAGAAAAACTTAAGAAGGATAGAAAAACAAAACAGAAAGAAAGGACGGAAGAAAGACTAAGAAAAAGGAAATACACTCATAGTAATGCTTCCACCCCCTTTGAACAAATTTTTATTATTTGCGGCATTTTCTTTTTAGTTGGAAAAGATCTGATGAGGCAAAAAGGCGTCAGAGACGAGCTCGAAATAAACGAGGAAGGCTTGAAATAAAACAAATAAAGAAAAACGCTCATGAAGAGTTAGTTCAACAAAAAAAAGAAAAGACAGACAACCGAAGAAAAACTGTCTTCTGTCAAAAAAAATCAAGAGAAGTTTCACCAACTGCGGCGTCAGATAGAACGTGAAAAAGAAAGATTGCTTCATTTGCAGATGAAAAATAAAACAAAGTCAATCAATTCTTCAGATAGTGCTGTGGCAGTAACAAACTCATTCCCAGAGATTCCACGGGAACAGAAAGTACATGTGAATATGGACAGTGATTCCAAAAACTAAATAACCCTTTGGGGTGGAAAGTTTGGAAAAGTTACACTGGACTTGCCTTTTATCGAGAAATGCCTGTTGCAGTGAAACAATTCAGTGAAGGAGTCTCGCAAACAGAAGTTGAGCATGAGGCAAACATTAGTTCCTCATTTAATCAGGCTAAACCTTTCATGCTTGTAATACAATCCTAATTCGTTTTTCGGCAGGAATCATTCAACCGATTTCTATGATGTTTTTGACAGTTTTTGTAAAAATTCGGTTTTAAACAGAAGCTGATATCTCAAACAGTGTTAAACCTACACAAAAATAAACAACATTTTCTTAAATTTGCACTATTCTTTATTAAGGATGCCAAAAATGAAAAACGCGATTCCAAAACATACCCAAAGTGCATATAAATAGGTTCGGGCCATCTGAAGAATTGGATGAACATACAAAACTTTCCATCTCAATATTTATTGACTTTTATTATGCTGTAGTTGAGAAAACACATTTATTGAAAGTGTTCTTTTGCCTCTTTTTTCCTCTTTATAGAATGGTGCTGATGCAAAGTTGCCGAGAACAGCAAGGAGGGAATGACGCCCTTCATCATCTTTGAGGGGCAACTGCAAGCCCCAGATGATACATACCTGAGTGGGGAAAGGAATCACCCTCTAAAGGTTAATGGAGGACATACCAGCGCCTTGCTCACTCTAATATATGTTGTGTGTAATATAGAATATCCGGAAGAATGCAGACACTCATATTCATTTGTCCCAGAGAGAAGTTTTGAATGGACAATGTTAAACTATACCGACTAAGGTATTACAGCTCATGAATGAACTGAATCAGTTCTAAGCTCGTAATTAAAGCAAACTAAAATTAAATCTGTACGACTTGTTGTGTAATCTGCCTTTCACATCAATAGCTAAGCCGAACGACGACAACGACGGTGGCAAAAACGTCTCTTAAAAAGTAGATCCACGTTGTTTCAAATTTCATCTCTCCGGCTTCTGTAGTTCTGTAAAGGACTATATTAATATTTGAATTTTTAAAAAAAGGTTGCATGAGAAAATCGTTCTCTCATGCAGTGTGCTCTCATCCTCCGCAAAACTGGTGAAATTAGGTAGTTAAATGTCGTAGTTGTGCAACAACGGCAAGAAAATAAGCAAAAATGTGTGATGCACGTGCAAAGATGTTGTTTTGCTAATATAAATCTATTGCTTTTTTCGTAACATTTTCGTCGCCGTCATTGTCATATTGACCTCCCTAAAAAGTCTTAGAAAAGAAAGACCTACGGTGTACAGCCCTCTTAGTTTTTAACACTTGTTTTAATTCATGCTGTTTTACTGAATTCTGAAGAGAACAAAGTTTTTATTACTATCAGGGTAAATCAATTAAATGGGAGTAAATTTACAGGTTGTTGTCGTAGCTGTTACTTTGTCTACTTTTAAGACTTCTTCATGAGTTACAAATAGTGTTGGCTCAGCACACAAACGGCGTGTTATAACACAATTGGAAGTGTTGATCTACACTAATACAGTGTAAAATTCCCAGTAGTGTAAATTTGCCTCACTTTGGTGTGCACACAGCTGCAATGGGTTTTACACATATTCGGTGTCATCATTACCCTTTTTTAGTGTAAGAAAAACACCAGAACAGTGTAAAGGACACATATTTTTGGTGTATTTTAACACCAAAATTGGTTTACGTTAACCCAATTTTGGTGTTACTAAACACCAATATAGAGAAAATATACACCAGGTCAGTGTTGCTGTAACACTGCAAAGGTGTTTTTAAACGCATTCAGGATCGTATGTAGGTCACATTTACACCATTTTGGTGTTAATATACACGACAGTAGTGTTAACTGAACACCTATTTGGTGTTCACACAGCTGCAAAAATTTACACTTTTTTGGTGTTATCATAACACCTCGATTTTGCTGTGTATCGTCTTTCTTTATTTCATATAATTATGAGAATATGTACAACTAAGTATGTAATTAAAAATTCAGTTTATAAAAACCATCAAATAATAAAAAACGCGTCCGATAAATACGATCTACCAATCTTTTGAATGACTGGTGCGAAATAGAACAGTTGAATTTGAAAATTGACAGACAAATTTAATGTCAATTTCTTACATTTTTTTAAAGTTTTTTACTGAAACATTTATCTTTCATGTAGCGGCTTAGGCCAAGATAGCTCTACTTACCTTGACCTTCAGAGTTATGCACCTGTCAGGGTCAGCACAATACGCGATTCTTTAAAGCGAGCAGGTTTTGCGAATGCAACTCTTGGTGCCCTAAAATTACTACCATGTCCACTTGGTACTTTTGTAAATGCAAGTCGTCTAGAATGCGTCGAATGTCCTGCAGGTAAAATATACGTTTTGTTGCATGATTATTACTGAAATTATACTTGTCCTATGGGTCACGGATGATTAATTCAAATCACAAAAAGGTTTACTTGCCTTTGAATTGCTCGAGAAGAATGTCAACAAGATGGCTGGATATTAATTGGCCTTGTTCTTTCTTTCTGGCGTTTTGCTGACTTCGACAATAGAGAGGTTAAGCATCACGTTTACGTCAAAAGGTAAACGCGAATTTGTACCACGTAACCAAGTTTCCCCTTTACTTGTCGTTTACTTTTCATTATTTCTATTCATAAATTCATAGTTTCACGCAATGTTTTGTACATAAGAATTGTTTCGAGCTGTTTTTATCTCCTTGTTTTCTATTTTGAGAAATTCTCGACTTGAATCTGACGTTTGCCGTTTGCCGTATACGTTGCCAGTATCCAGCCAGCCACATTTATTGGATTCTTAAATTACTATAATACGACCAGATGATAGTTTTTCTTCTTATGCCATGCAATAGTAAAGTCCGTCCACAGAAACCAATCATATTACGGGAATTTCACGTTATTTGTAGGTCATGAAATTAAAAAGGAACGTCGGACCAAAAACCAAGGATTTTGTAACCCTACAATTTTAACCCGGACAGATCCATTTCCATTTTGTAGATCCATTTCAGTCATATTGTGGGACTATAAAATTAAAATTATTGATAAATATGAAATGTAAAAAAAACACTTTCACTCTCAGTACACTTTCTTATAGGAGGCTTCTATTCGGATACTAAAGCGTTTGTCAATGACAGCTGCCTCAGATGTCCAAATGGAACTTTTGTGCCATACACTAAGGCACCTGGCAAAAGCGCCCGTGAGTGCATTGCTTGTCCACAAGGTAAGCATGTTTTATAGTCAAACCCAGTCAAACATAGACCACATAGTTAAACATAGACCAGGCAGATTATACTGATAGTAGCAGGGGTATCAAATTTACATATATATATATTCTTGCATGCTCAATGGGCAGTGAATTTCGCGCTGCAGATTATCAGCATTCGGTGAGATCAAGAGAAATCGTTATCGATGGCTCTTGAACAAAATTCTTTATCGAACTCAAGAAGAACACAAAATCTGCTGCAGCATCTGCTGGTGATTTTAGTGTTCATTGCATGCTAGTAAGAATAATAAGAATCACCACAAGATTTCAAAAAGTCAATCATTATATGGCTACAATAGTACGAGCGTTCTTATTGGCTGCTTAGCTGGCATGACCGGAAATTATTCCGTAGAAGTCCAAAGCATATATAATCTGTGTTTAACTTGATAGTAGACATCCATGTTATGACCAATTGACAGTTGTCAAAAAGGGTGACTGCTGACCAGTGCCACATGTCTGTATCGCGGGCTCAAGTGTACAAGTCATTGAGGTGGCGTACTCTTTTAAGTAATCCACTGACCAGTTATTGGTTCAAATTGATCGCAGGCTCAATTACTTCCGGTGTTTTATATTAATAGCGCTAAAAGGCAACAAACAACTTATTAACCTTGTCCGTTCGGTCATTACAGGGATTTCCCTGTAATGACCTCACTCTCAGTTAATAACTTGTATGTAATGAATTCATCATAAGAATCTATGGTGGAACACTTGACCTGGTTTGATTAATTGCAATTTAGTAGATGGAAGGTAAAAAGTGTACAGAAACTGCGTTATCCCTGTTACCCTGTTCAAAGTATCTGATGACGTCACTGAGGTTCAGATAAAACTGGTCAGAAAATGAAGGTGGAGAGACACAAGATTCTCTGCTTTGGCAATGGCCCTTACGTTTGATTACGTAGGAGGAGAAAATTTCACCACCAAGAATTTTTCCAAGAAAAGTTCTTTGCATTTTCACTGAATGAGTGTGAGCATTATTTTCAACTCTACTCCCACTGGAATTCATTTATGCAAAATTGTGCAACTTCAAAATTTCAAAACGAGGATTGGTGGTGAAATTTACTCGTCTGACGTAAACATGCATAAGGACAATTGTCGAGTAAGATAGAAATTCTTGATATCGGTTTTGAATTGAGAATTTATTTACACACAAAGTAGTTTTAACTTAATTTAACTCCTTACAGTGGAGTTATTGTTTGGGGAGTTATTTTAACTCCAAAAAGGAGTTTCAAGAACTCTTTTTCAGGATTAAAAACGACCCCAGATATTGAGAAGTTGAAATAACCCCAAAAAAGGAGTTATCCTGTACCTAAAATTTTTACTCCACTTTTAGAGTTAAATTAACTCCAAAAAGAGTAAAAACAACCCATGTAAGGAGTAAAAATAACCCCATTGTCGGAGTTATTTTAACTCCAGACTGGGAGTAGAAAGAACTCTTTTTCAGGAGTAAAAATGACCCCAAATTTGGAGTTAAATTAGGAGTTAAAGTAACCCCAAAAAAGGAGTTATCCTGTACCTACAATTTTTACTCCATTTTTGGAGGTGTAATAACTCCCTAAAAATTAAGGTGTTTTGCCTCTAATTTTATTTTTGTTCGGCAATGCTGCCATTATCGTATATCCTTGTAATTTAAGGCGGTGAAACTTTCTTATGAAGTAGCTTTGTTGTATTTGAACCCATTTGACAATGAAGCCTACAACTGTCTAAACCAGCAAGCTTTCAAGTTTATTTATGTGTTTTAAATGCAAAAAAAAGACAATCATTCTCCTGATAGAAATACAATAAATTCAGCTAACCGACTTTTACTTTTTTTAGGCACAGATACTTCCACGTTTGCTGGGTTTAGAGCTTGCAGCTGTTTAAAAGGATTTCATCGTACCCATCTTTTTGAAGGCTGCAAACAATGCAAGGAAGAAGGATTAGAATGTGTGGATGACCATGTTAAGCTGAAAAAGGGTTTCTGGTGGAAATGGGAGGATCAGACCCACAAGCAATTTTATGAATCATTTACACGTAATCTCTTAGATTCAAGGAACTCTTCCTCGAAGAATGCTTCCCTTATCGAGTTCCCATACACTGTTCCCACGCCGCACAAATGTCCACAACAAGAAGCTTGCTATGGCGGTTTCAATTCTTCTTGCGCTGACGGCTATCAAGGACCACTGTGTGAAATTTGTAGTGATGGCTATTATAAACAGTTTCAAACGTGCAAAAAGTGCCCAACGAAGAAATGGATGATCGGACAACTGTCGATCGTGGTGGCAGTTATCCTGGTCATTATTTTAGTTATCCTATGGTCAAGTAAAAAGAAGCAAGAGAGTGAGAAAAAAAGAAGATCCACAGTGGATATGCTACTTGGAAGGCTAAAAATTGTCATTGGCTTTTACCAGGTCACTGATGGACTGTTACAGACATTTTCGTATATCAAATGGCCAGATTCTCTTTCTGCCATTGGAAAATATTCGGAGATGGTACAGCTTAATGTATTTCAGATTGCGCCTCTTCATTGCATCTTTCCTGAAATAAAGGTTAATGCTTTTAAGAGCTTGTTTGCAGTCCTTGCAATGAATGCCACAGCCATCATTGTGGCGATTCTCATTTACTGTTTACGAAAGCTTCTACTCGAACTGAGTGCTTCCTCCAAAGAAGAAAATTTAAGGAAATCTTCTCAAACGAAAGAGCTGATTTTGCGAAATCTGTTTTTCTTCCTGTACGTGACATTTCTCAGTACCTGCTCCAACACAGCTAGTGTGCTTCCCCCAACTTGCCGTCTGCTTTGTTCGGACAAAACGAAAACCCACTGCCAAAAGTTTCTTAAGTCTGACTACAGTATCGACTGTGAGAGTACAAACTACAGTCGATCAGTCATCGTTGCCTACATTGCAGTCGCTTACATACTATTTCTTCCCACAGCATCACTTATAGCTCTCTGGAAAGCCCGATTAACCGTTGCAAGTCAGAATAAAATGGAAGACGAGCACCAAAATCCTGATATCGAAGTGAAAAGCAGCGAAGTCAGAACAGGCTTGCGATTCCTTTTCGAAAACTACCACCCGCGCTCGTGGTACTGGGAACTGGTCGACACAGTACGAAAGGTGGTCCTCACGTCAGGTCTCATCCTGGTTGATGGTGAAAGCAGAGCATATGTCGGACTGGCTTGCGTCATGTCAGGACTCTATGGAATGTTTTTTGCCTATGTCAGCCCCATTGTGGACCCATTCGAGAACAGACTAATGCTGATATCTCTTGCTGTGACCTTTGTAAACTTGGGAATAGGAGCTGTGAGTAAAATTAACAGCGAGAACATTCCTGCCTCAGTCGATCCATATGTGGATAACATCATGTTCAAGGTACTGGTGTTTGGAGCAAATTCTTTGGTAATCGGTCTTCTCGTAGGTAAGTTAAGTGTAAAACTACTTCGGTTCTTAATTTACCCTTCAATAGTATAATATTCATCCCTGGGTATTGTTGCTAATTATAGTAAGGTATGGGGAACCAATCTTACCTGGGAAAAGCCCAAGATAGATTGAATTGAATGTACTAGGTAATCTGGAACCCGACTTACTCACTGAGTCGCCAATCGCCCTTCGTGTCGGCAAAGTGAAGTGTACCAGTATTTTCTATTATAAAAACTAATTTGCATGTCGTTAATTATTCTTCGGGGCTGATATTTACAATTCAAATGGAACGTGAACAGAAAGCCTAAGCAACCACGACGACGAAAACAACAACGTCAAAAAAAGAAAAAAAAAAGAACAGAAACGTTCTTGCCTACATTTGACAAATTTAGGGGATCCAAATAGGCGCGATAAAGTTTGAAAGGACACAAATCAATTTTTTAGCGACGTTGTCACTGCCGTCGTCGTCGACTAGTCGTCGTTGCTTAAGCTCCCCAATCACAAGTAGGGCGATGCCAGCTCCATGCTTGCTTTTGGTTTTCGGCCAAAATTTAGTTCACGATGTAAATCGGTTAAGCTTCAACTGCCATTCTAACTGTAATTGTTATAAGTATTAAAGTATGTAAGGAAGTAAGTAGGTAAGTGCGTATGTATGTAAGTACTGCTATGTCAGTCAGTCAGTCAGTCAGTAATCTATAAGACTTGAACTTAGAGCTAAAATATTCGTAGAGAATAGTAAGGACAGTACAATAGAGGACTCCGCCTCATAAAACGTCAAGTCAACGCGTACGTTTTAAGAAGGTGTTCTTGAAGGAGAGAGGTGACTTAAGACAGTCCTAAATATATGTAACTATGACTATTGTTTCTTTGCAGTTCAGTATATTGTATGCACCAGTCGCTTCATAAAAGAATGGCTCAAAGAACCCAAGTGGTCTTTCTCTTGCTGTCTGGCCTTGCTGCTGCCTCTGAATGACCTGCAAGGGGAAGTACGTGGATTTGCTGGAAGGAATGTTTTTAAGAACCAACTGCAAACAGGAAAAGTGAACATGCCGTCAATTTCATCCTCTTTCAAAGATAGTGGTGCTGTTAACTTTAGTTTGGAAGAAGATCAACCCGATCTGACAGGTGAAAGGAATTCTGATCACAAGGAAACACCTGGAAACAAGAGCGAAAAACGAACCAAGACTCGAGTAAGCGCAAAAGAATCCATCTTTACCAAAATTTCAGTTCATGAAGTTCCAAAAATGACATACGATACGTCTTTTTAAAGACCTTCAGTTAATTAAACCATTTTTGCACTATTTATGTCAAAGACTAAACGTATAGTTTGGTGAAAAGCTTTCATGTGTGGGGACTGAAAAGGCGGATTCATCGTGTCGTCATGTTTACATTTTTAGCTCATTAGCATCAAGTTGACAAATAGAAGATGAAAGAAGATGTAGCTGTATAGACCAGTTAGGTTTAAACATGAAAAGAGTTGGTAAATTTATAGAGTTTGTACAAGTTTCAGCTCTTTGCAATCAGTAACAAAGAAAATAGCGGCAAAATTCCTTGATGAGCTCGTACATTCTTTGAACATTTTGTTTCTTTTAAAGAGAATTTCTTTGAAATTATCTGATATATCGGGTCAATTTTCCGAAGATAACTGAAACTGTTATGGTCTTTCAATATTCAAAAATTTCTTGCTACTATCTTCATCACATAATGATGAGCCTATGCTAATGAGGCAAAAAATGTAAACAAGGATTCGCCTATTCAGTAGAACCCCGGTAACTCGAAATCTGACAAGAGGAACTAAAAACAGTTAACCTGATATCAGGTTCTATTTTCGTTTCTCTTTGTAAATAACATTTCGGCGGTAAGGCGAAACCAATTTTAGCGGGACTACGTAGGAGGGAAAGTATGAGAACTGCTAAAATTGGGCCTGATCTCCCGAGGTTAAAAACAGTTCGAGTTAGCGGGGGTTCGAGTTATCGGGGTCGATTGTATCTTCAATTTTGCATGGTAATCAGTCCGAAATATCCCTAAATTTAAGGACAGGGCCAACTGGTCACGCGACACTTTTCAACCAATGAGAAGGCGTGCTTGTGTTTATCAACAAACAAATCAAAACATCTCCCCAGCGATCAAACAGCGGACGGTGTCGGACAGAATCAGTCATCGTTTTGAGGCTCTCAGGCATATTTTTAAGACTTTTCATGAGGGATACACAATTTTTTTAAGTGGACAGCGTATCGGAAGCCATATTGGAAGTGTCTACTGAAATATTCAGCAGATTTTGCGGCTTATTTATTCTTTTAAACAACGCGATGTATAGGCGAGATTTTGGTCGGTTTTCAAGGTAGGTGAACAAGTATATATTATTTTTTCGATTCACAGATTTTTTACGAAGTTCTAGACATTTTTCCTCGATTGTCATATCGATTAACTTTTATCATGTGGAATGTGGGGATGGTAGACAACCTAGAATTTTGGTAGACAATTTTTGAATTCCGAGGTCCAAAACACGTGCGTTCCCCACTCCCGGGTTTCTCACGGAGCCGTGTTGTTACTTTTTTTCGCACTAGTACGAGCCTTTGCCTTTTTTCTTTTCAAGGTCAAAACTACTTTATTAGTCTTATGGATATTCACGTCCTAGATCTCGCCTCACTTTGCCGAATTTGCGGGGATGAAATTGAAAATCATAAGAGAAAGGTAGACACTAACCGCTTTGTTTCCGAAATTAACCAAATGTGGAAAGATTTAATGTTGTTGGATTCTACAAATGTTCATCCACCTTTGAAAAACAATCAAAGAAAGAACGCAAATTTCAAGTGTAAATGATGTATTTCGCTTCTTATTGAACATGCATTGATTATCGTGGATAAAATTAAACCATTGCATTAATGCTCCCAACCCATGAAAATATCAAACAAGACAACAACAACAGATCTGTGGGAGAAAAGGGGGAAGGGGATGAAGTGCTCGAGTTGCTAATGGAATCTTACAGCATGACACAGGTCAGGTGGTTGGGAACGAGAGGACTTACCCAATAAGAACATTATCACGCAACAACAACACAACAACCAGGCTAAAGAGAGGTCCTAATCCTCTCTCTGGGGTCTTGATCCCCAGGCCCTGAGAGGTGGTAATCCTCTCCCTTCTTTCCATGAGTCCATCAAGTCCCCAGGCTACAGAGTATAAATTGGTTGGCACTACAGCAAGCAAAGAAAGTACCAGATGCTTGAAGTCAACGCGAAACAACAAACAACAACAAAAAAAAACAACAAAAATTAATAAATTTGAACTACTTTTTATTCTTGTTATAATGACTGGTTCTTTGATTCTTGTCCTGTAGAAGTTGGTAGGTAGTACCAATCCTGTTTTGTACGATCTCAACAAATTTTCACACTCTCTCTAAGGCTATTTTTACATGGGACCAGTTTTCGTTTATTAAAAATCTTGCAAGCCATGTCAGTGAAGCCACGACCTCAGCGATCGGTCCGGAATCAGTTCGAACACCCCAATGATTCCTTGCAATGAATAATGCTCTTATTCTTTTACATGAAATGTTTTCTTTGAAATATTAAATGTGAAACCTAGACGAGTACTGTGAGCTCATCTTTAATTCTGTCCGACTCCGTCCGCTGTTTTGAAAATGTTTGATCACTGGGGCGATGTTTTGATTTGTTTGTTGATAAACAGAAGCACGCCTTCTCACCGGTTGAAAAGTGTCGCGTGACCAGTTGGCCCTGTCCTTAAATTTAGGGATATTCCGGACTGGTAATAGTGATAGTTTATTGATATTTCAGTACTTTAGCATATAGCAGAGGGCCCATTTAACTTATCTCATCAGACATTTTAACACGATTATACATTTTTACTATAATACCGGGAAATGGCTGTCAAATACATGATGTGTTCGTTGCCCATCTTAAGAAGCAGTAAAAAACAAATTGCTGTAGTGTTAGTTTTAGGGGTTGTTCCTCAGTTTACAAGGCAAGGAAAAGCTAATAGGATGGCATTCATGGTGAGTTCTATGAACCAGAATTCGCGGGGAATTCGAGTTATCCGAGTAAACGTGACTGCGTGAAAAGTAGGATTTATTCCAAGAGAAATGCGACTTAGTTCCAGTTATCCAATTTCGAGTTAAACCGGGGTCCTAATGTAGATTCAAATCAACGTAAGCCGCTTTGCTAGTGTTTTCTCGGTCATGTTTTAGATGGCTTTCAGGCTATCATCAATTCCATCAACTCTCTATCAGTGCTGCGTTTCGGTCTGTAGACACAGTACATTTTTCAAGAATTTCATTTTTGATTTGAATCTTCATTCATCATAAAATGTGTTTACTATTTTACCATGCTCTTAGGACAAAGGTCCCTTGAGCAAACAAACATGACAAAGGTTGTTGGTCTTGGTGGGTAGAGCTATAGTCGCATTGAGGACAACTTCGAACCGACAGAAGAGCCGGTTCAGCTTACGTCATAAAATTAAAGGAGTTTTATTCTTTATTATCACTAAGCTGCATATTTATTGGCCATACTTATTCAAGTTGAAATTTGAGGGGTTTAGAAAACAAAATAAAATAACTAAAAAAATTTAAAAATGAAAACCACAAAAAAATACAAACATATATACTCATGAAACATTAGCTACTTCAAGGCAATAGTCAAAGCAAACTGACCTTATTAATTTTAAAACAATAGATTGAATATGAGCAATTTACGTGACACCGTGAAGTTCAAAAAACGATTAAGCTCACAGTTCCGGGGGTGTAGACAAAACCTGGGCCTGGCCCATGGGCTAGCCCATGGGCTACCCTATGGGCCACCCTATGGGCCACCCTATGGGCTACCCCAAAATTTAAAAAATAAATAAAAAAAATTTAAAAAAAGAGAGATCGCACGAGGCTTTAGGCAGTAAGGATTTAATCGCTTTGTTTGCTACGTGATTTAGTATTGAGAATGGCTCGTTATTTGTTCGTCGCGTAAGCAATTGAGGTGAGCATTACTTTGTTAATAATGGTTCAATAGCTGATTCTCCCTATGGGGAATCCCATAGGGGAATCGGCTATTAACGGTCTTGAATTGTTGGATTTGAAAAGGGCTTGCTTAAATAAACACTTAGGCTGAAAAGTTTGCCGACTGAAAAAAACGATGGGACCCCAATTTTTGTGGGAAATCGAATGACATGATTGTCGTCCGTGACAAACTGAACAAGATAATTCGGTGTTATCGTTTATGGTTTATGCTTTTCACAGCGACAACGTTTTTTTCAATTAGGTATATACATGACCCACCCCCTAAAAATCTACCCTACCTAGCAATTCCACCCTTCTAAGAGCTTTATTCAGTCAGAAAACCATCATGACCCACCCCCTCTAGGGGCTCAAAGAAGAAATGACCCACCCCTTTGCCAAGGCTCAAAAATTGCTGAACTACACTCTTCAGCATTTCCAAAGGAATCTTTAAGGCCGTCGCAGCTGAAGAATAAAAGCAATTCCCGTCCCCAGGCGGGTTAAATACGACATCATATCCGAGTTTCTCAAATTTACTCCCCATATCTAAAGAGCAGTGGACTATATTACGAGTAAACTGAGCTATATATATGAACGTACTCCCGAGTTCGTATTTGTGTTCCACGTGCAATCGATGTGTAATGTGATGTGAGAAGTCGAGAACAAACGCGCTAGCTTTGCCTTAATATTTGTAATAATTATTGTATTAACTAGCTAGAAATAGTTGACACTACAGCTATCAAAAGGGGGTGGTAGGCCTACACGACTTTTACCTCATGTCAAAATGCTGCTTATTCCAATAAAGTTGTTTTTCTCTGCTGGGTAGATTATGCTCTGGAAGGTTCTGCATTTTACTGAGCAAATGTGGTTTTAGCCGCATGTTTCACACTGAGAGGTCATGACATATATATCGATTGACTGTAGTTATTGTTTTCTGGTCGGCAGGATTTGCCCTCTGATGCAAGCGCATTTTCTCTTTTGAAGCGTAAAGCTTTTTATTTCGGCTGAATAAGGTTTTCAATTTTCTCCAAAGTTCCTTATGGATCTGATCTAAGCGATTTTCTTTAGTCCGTGAGCGTAATGTTTTTCTGCAATGCTGTATCACGCTGGGCCCAGCTCGTCAGTTTTCTTTGCAGAATTTTAAATTATCACGGATAGTGACTTACAGATCCAAAATTATAAGAGTGAACTGCAGCTTAAACTGAAGCTACATAAACTTACTATGGAGAATTGAATTGTGACTCAGTAAACTCCAGCTTAGTGTTTTTCTAAGGATAGTGTGAGTCTTTTGACTGGAGCGCGTAGTTCCTCCCTTGGTAATAGCTTTGAATAAGCTTAACAGTCTTTAAACTGTTTTGTTATTGCCACAGTTTGTGATCAGGCAAGACCATGGTTTCGGTTCTCCTCACGAACCTCATCAGTTGCCGGGTTGGCTTTGTGCTTAGTTGCTTTTGCAGGAGCAACTTTAGTTGTACTTTGTTGGAATAAGCAGCATTTTGACATGAGGTAAAAAGTCGTGTAGGCCTACCACCCCTTTTTTTATTGTCACGCAACGCACAACAATTTGCATATAGATTCTAAAGCCTCGTTTTCGTGCCTCGAGGTCGTGACGGGTAAAAAACGTCGTTGGAACAGCGCGTGCGTAGAAAAAGGAGTCAACTGTTTTTTCTTCTCTTATTATTTTTTTTATTTGTTATAATTTTATAATTTTAAATTTATAATTTTAAATTTATTTTTAAATTAGGGGTGGCCCATAGGGTAGCCCATGGGCTAGCCCATGGGCTAGGCCCAGGTTTTGTCTACACCCCAGTTCCGGAGGCCTTTTGCTGTCGCCTATTCATCGTAGCTCAACTTACATTTAATTCAGTATTTATCTTTTTTTTCATCTTTGCTTGCTTAAAATAATAATTCGCTCGCTGTATTTATTATTGAGGAAAGTACTGACAAGAGAGAAAGAAAGTTATTCCTAGAAACCAGATTCTGCGGTTAAGAACATCGTACCTTTTATTGCGCAATTACCTTTGAATTACCGCAAAACAAACGAACATAAACGATTAAACTTTCTTGTCGGTTCTCCTCTCACATATACTTTAACCATATATATATTCTTGGTATTGGAATATCCTAAATAATCCATGTATATAAACCTCCTTACTCGTACTTTTCAGGTCGGTTAAGAAATGTATTTATATGATACCATTACTCTTTGTCAAGATCACATACGTGCCTCTAATTGTGAGCAAACGGATGGCATGCTTTTGTCCACTTCCCGCTATCTTCCCGCTGGGCGCATTGCAGCCAAAAGATCGGAATTCCTATACAAAGAGTTTTGCACCGATCTTTTATTCTATCTTGGTGTTTGGGTTTCAAGTTATTTTAAAAACAGTTGGACGGTTTGGTTTGATATTCGCTCAAATTTGGCTTGTAAGCTGACCTAGATAGTTAAGTTTCAGGAATCTGGTAGACGAAGAACCACTTTGTGAATGTGCTACTTTTAAAACATTATTTCTTTATTATTTATTTTTTTAATTAACTTGGAGAAACACGTCTTAAAGCGTGTATTCAAGCTTACTTAAATCCGAAACAAAAACGAGTTCGTTAGATAGAAATAATTACTTTGCTTAGTAGGTGTTTTCAGCTGTGGAAAGGAAAATAAGCAATTTCCTAAACAAAGTTCGTTTGCTTAAAACTGAAATTAGTTCTCACTTTTGCTTGAATAATAATCAGCCTTGCATACCTCATCAAATTTAGTTTATTGCCACGCGACCCAACACCTTTTGAGTTCTTTGTTCTCAGTTGGGCCATTTTCAGCAAAATTTCACTTACTTTCCTAATTTTAAACTATAATTTCTTTCGACAGAATCTTAGGAAAGATAGGTTTCTTTCAAACCATTGTTTTAGTTTCTTGTATAGGAATTTGGTTGTAGAGATATTTCCAGTTTTGCAAATTTTCCCACGCGCAGCTGAATTCAACTAAATTTTGGTTTCTTTCGTTCTATCAGGTCTATCACCTCGTAAAGGCAGATTTAGACGGTACGATTTTTGCTTGCAGCTAACGTGCGCGACTAGCTTACGTCATCACTTTCGACCATCCACACGCGCACAATTTTCCCTTACGACATCCACATGTGTCGTACGAATATCGTGTGCATTAACACGACACGATCTTTCGTGAAGTCATGACGTATGCTAGTCGCGCACGATAGTCGTAAGCAAAAATCGTGCCGTGTAAATCGGCCTTGCCTTAACACCTACTTTCTGCAAATGAATACTATCTAGTCTTGCTAGAAACCAATTAACTTTATTGCTCAGGAAAAATACAACCGCTTTAATGTAAGCTAAACTTGATTCACATAAGGATCTCATCTGAAGACTCAATTAGTAGAGTTCTACGAGCTGTAAGGAAGCAAATAAACCGCGTTCAACTCAACTTCTTGTGTTCCTAAACATCTCTCAAAATCTATAAGATTCCAACCTTTAGTTCCCAAAAGTGATCAACATCAATTTTATCCTAACAACATCAAAACAGAATGGAAAGAAATGATCATGGGAATTAATTCCATGACCACTAGTTGGAAAATGCGTTGTATCTTGTATCAAATTATCACAACTAATTTTTTTAAGAAAATGTATTGACATCGGTACAGAGAATTTGAATGTGGATATTGGGGCTTTAAGGGTTGTACGTGTTATATAACTGAAGGGGAGGAAAGAAATTCAAAGAGGACAGACGGCAAATTGTGGTTACTTGAAATAACTGTTCTCCAATAAAATGCCAAAATGTGTGCGAACGGTTGCGGGAGACTATTGCGGCATCCGGTGTGAAGAGGACCATGGGATGGTTGCTTCCCTTGATCGCGCTTCTCTCGTTTATATTAGGGAGCTCAAGCAAAGGAAAAAAGACAGTGTTTACGTAAGAAAAGAGTTCAACTCCTCCAGGATTTGTTTGGAACACCGTACCAACATGGCAACCATTTCATTGTATGGCCGCCTTTGGGTCGTGTGAAAACGCTTGATAGGAGACTGAGTGGCAACTGGGGTCGAGTCAGCAAACAGACGGTCAAGAGGGTCACAATTTGACACCTTAATTTGTTTCTTTAGGGCAATATTTAGAATAGAGTTAAATAAGCAAAATGTTAACTTACTTGTTAAGCGGGCTGCATGTGACAGCCTGTGTTGAAGTTTAGGCCGAACGCCGTTTTTGTTGTGTTGTCCAAATGGCACTATTAACCTAAGCTCGGTGAATATTAAATTTAATGCATGTTTTGATACGGTACTTGTTACGAACGAGTGAATCACTTTTTATGACTGTCAAAATATTAAATATATGCATAGATGTAGAAATAAACTCGGCTTACCTTAAACTGGATTTCTTTATTGCTTTATCTGTGCAACCTGGGTTCACTTCATGGCCATTTTCTATAATTTTGCGGCTCATAGGTACATGTAGTTCGTCGAAATGCATTTTGTAATTAGCGAAAAATAAAATCTTAGCATATAGGAGAGATTAATTTTTTTGATCTAAAATCACTGTTCCGTTCTTACGGAAACTCGCTCTTGAAAAAGACTGGCTGCCATAGCGGTTTAACTCCGGCCACATTGCAAAAAATCAGGGTTGACTGCACAGTTTTCCAAGAGGACTGGAAGGGGACAGACGCCAATTCCCTTGAAACAAAACATACAGTTAACTTTGAGTTATCTTCAAGGGAAGTTATGTAGTGTCCATACTATGGCTTTATTAAGACGTTCACAACGCGAAAAATAGTAACAAAATTGAATGTGTATGAATTACAGGCAGAAACAGTATTCCGCTTTTTCGAACAAAATTTCTGATTCAACGAAAAAATTACGGATGCACTTGCTCTTGGCAAATGAGAGTAAGCAAGAGAAAAGATATTTCTTTTCTAAAAAGTTGGTATTCAATCGTTGCTCATGGATTAGCTGAACTCCACATAAGTAACAGGAGTAAGAACGGCTCCAAAGCTGGCAGGAGCCGACACTGTTTGTGGTACAGCGGACGCAGCAGTCACAGCGGGCTTGGTAAGAAGAGTAGTGACGTACTGTGTGGGGGTGGGTGAGTTTACGTGATGACTGATCATCGGAGAGGTTTGGGTATATTCTGCACGAGCCCCGGCTTGGCCTGACTTGATGTAGTAGTGGAATAGAGTAGTTGGTGTAGGCGGCTGGACTGTGATGGTTGCATTGCTGCCTGTCACGGGTGGAGCGCAGTATTCAGAGCTTGTATTGTAGTGCAGGGTTCCTGCTCTCATTTGTACAGGGGGCACGATAGTGCCACCGCCCAACACCAAGGGTTGGACCTTTGGCTGGATAGCAGTTGAACCCATTCCTGGAACGGGTGGGGGCTGAATGGTGTTTCTAGGTATGGTAACATTGGGTGGTGGTCCCTCACCACGTTTCGTTAGACGGCTATGGATTCCTCTGTCGGACATGTTAAGCCGAGCGGTAACGGGAGGCATTCGGACTAGTGTAGAGGGAAGACGATTGACGTCCGACTTCATGTCTGATAGCAACTCCTCCAGCTGATTAAGTACTGAAACAAAAACAAAAACGATAAATGTCCTTCTGTTACATCCAAGAAGGTAAAAAGGTGAAAAGTCCTATCCACTGGATAAATCACTATTTAGGGAATATTACAATTTGTTTCCCTAATACGTATCCACCAGATTAATCGCCAATCAGTGGATAGCGCTATTGGTCGCTATACAGCTTTTGAACAACTGGGGCCTGGTGATATAATGATTTTTTTTGTCTTAAACGAACCATAAACTTATCAGTCATATAACAGGGTCACTATGTTATATACAGTTGTAATCACAACGAGTGAAGTGATTATGGAAAGAAGTGATAAAAATGTATATTCCCAAGTAGATAAAATTCACTTTCACAGTCTCTCACAAAACATCCAAAAAGTGGGGAGCGATGAAAGGAGACAATATTCACAGGCTTATAGTCCGAAAGATGCTACTTTAATTGTGATGAATAAGCAACATGCAAGAATAGCTCACGATGGACACTACATCAGCCTACAAACGCTTTGAAGTGTGTAGCAAGAATTATCTGTAATGGTTCCCCGCCCCGTGTCACGACCGGTTTCTCCCCACCCTCCCTTTATGGAAAGCCTATTCACAGGCTGTTGAAGCCATAAACTACTAAACGATCTGAGTGAAAGATTACCTTATGAAGTACAGCATTGGTGGGTTTGTTTCCTGCTAACGACTCCTTGGACAAATGCTGGTGACTTTCCGCTAAGCACTCAGCAGCAGCTGGCAGCGAGGTCTGGAACGGAGTTTACATGATCGTCGCCCCAGTTAAGAAATTTGGCGGAGTGAGACTGAGTACAAATTTTCCTTCAAAACAATTATGGCGGAGAATGCAGACATGGAAGGACGACGAATTTTTGCCCTGTTTTATGTTTCCAGGCGTCCAAACATGAAGAAAAGGTTTCTTTTAACTCTTTTAATGGACCTTTTGGATACCAGCAGGCGTGATGTATGAACAGTTCATGGGTGACATCACTTATCGTTATTCGGAACCGCGGCAAGTTTAGTTAGTTTTAAACTTCGTGACTTTTCGAGCGACCAGCCTGCTCAATCTCTTATATTTTTCCACTTACAGTGGTATTATACAAGACTCTCTTCCCTATCCTAAACATATGCTACGAGCAAAATATATCAGTATAAGTCTTGCAACAGTCATACGATGTGAATGTTCATTAAACCAATTTTCTACTTCGCTGTTCGTAAGTTTGTATGTACACCGGGAGCCACAACAAATATTTATGGGCGTAGATACAGAACACAAGGCCAATTTAGTAAAAGACAGGGTAAATGTTCCAATCACTTTGCCTCACATATGCTGGGTCTGTCAGTATAAGCTGGTTTTAATATCACAAGGCTGGGAGGGGTTTACTGAACCTTGAAAACCTTCACTGGAAACTCACTGGAATGATAATCAATAAATTTCCAACAGCAATACCGTAGTTAATAGTTTTGTATTAGATAGTGACTTCGGTTTCAAGTATATCCTTGAAATTATTGGTACAAAAATTACCCTATGGTTCTGAATTATACTTGAAATGATTATAATGGTTAAGAGTGGGGACCAGGCTAATTCAGTTGCTAATAAGAGTGAGTACATCAGAGAGGGGTATGCGTTGAAATAATCCGTTATATTCTTATTGTCATGTACTTGGTTTATAATTTTGTAATGTAAAATTGACTCTGAAAAGCCCCGTGGGGACGAGCCAATCAAGTATGTATGTATGTATGTACAGAAAAAAGAAAACTGAATGTTTTGCAAAGTTTATAAAGAGAATCAGAAGAAGCTTGAAAAATGTACAACTTCAATTTATTGTTTGTGTAAGTTATGAATCTGATTTACAACTAAAATAAACACGGTAAAATTGATTTTTTATCAACCACCAAGAGAAATTATTGTTGGGCTTGAGCCCAACCCTCTCAGCAGTTGTTTCTACGATACTACCATTGGCTTATTTGGCCTAGATGGGTATGTGCTGCTGATTGAGGGTGGTGACCATTTCACCCTTTAGAGTTTTGAACAGGGTGTCTTTTTAGGATGTAAAGGTTGATGAAGAGCTGTCTATAGTTACCGACCCGCTGTTCTTAGTAAAATCAATTAAATTTGATAGCTATGGCCAAGGGTGGCGTCAAAGGAAATTTTAGCTGGGGCAGGTTATTACGAAGTTTTGTTCTTTTTCTCCCTAAAACCTGAAATTGAATAGTATACCTAATTCCAGACGCTCCATTATATTTCCGGTTAGATAAAGGGAGACAGTCAGCAATGGGACTGCGCTGACCTGGACACTACTTTTGCCAATTTGAAAAGCGTTTACCTCAACCCGAGATCAAACCTATGCGTCGGATACATCTAGAAATCCGCTTCAAACCTGCCTGGTGTTTTTTGGATAAAAACAGTATTCAAAGCAGGAGAGATGAGAAACGCGTCGTAGCCGGGCGGGAGAAATCGC